TCCCGGCATTGTTTTACTAGATGTGAACGTACAAACGTCTCTGTGGAGAATTAATATATGAAGTAATTGTCCTGATATTTAAAAGGGGTCGGGCGATCGATTGCTGCAATTATCGTGCTATCACACTTCTTTTAACTCCTGAATAATTTTGGAAAGGTTGTCGCAGCCAGTTGACGGTAGACTTCGTCAAAATCAAACAGGCCTCCGGATCCGGGGCTCCTTCAGGGAAAAATGTTTACTCTGCGAAGGATCATAGTGCAACGCCGACGATGCCAGTTGCTCGGTTTGCCAATTCCATTGGACGTAAGGCGGCGTTTGATTCACTGCATCATCCGAAGATCTTGAAAATCCTGAAATGATATGGGATATCTGAGCACATTTTTTACATTCTGGCAAAGTTTAGATATCCATGTTCTGGTGCATCTTCATAAACGGACAGACTTCACCATCACCGAGCACAGGAAATACATAGCTCATGAGAATAGAGGATCAGAAGGAAGTAGAAAAAGGTAGTTCGATTAGCTCTGCTTGAATGGGTTGGACAGGTTGGGATGAGGTAGGAAGGTCATTAGCCATGCGTCCAAGCAGAAGAGTGTACTCGTGACGAAAGGGTGGGTGAAAGTTGAGAGAGTAGAGTCACAGTACTGGCTTATTGCTACTTCGCCGACATGCTACTTTAAATTATACTAAAGGCAGAAACGAAAAAAATGATTTTCTTTTCGAGTGATCAGTGCAACGAAAATATGATAACTCGGAAAATGGATAACTCGTGATCTTGGTGTTGAATGGAAACCAGCAGTAAACGGAACGAAGCCCCGTCTAGTCAAGTCCCTGCTACCTAGAAGTGATTGGCAGCACAGATTGTGAATCAGACCTTGTTAAATGAGATATTTCATATCTGCTAAATTCCTCAGTTTGTCTTAAAGCAATGACAGAAAATGGATAACTCGTGATCTTGGTGTTGAATGGAAACCAGCAGTAAACTTAACGAAACCACGTCCAGTTAAGTCCCTGCTACCTAGAAGTGATTGACAGCACAGATTGTGAATCAGACCTTGTTAAATGAGATATTTCATATCTGCTAAATTCCTCAGTTTGTCTTAAAGCAATGACAGAAAATGGATAACTCGTGATCTTGGTGTTGAATGGAAACCAGCAGTAAACGGAACGAAACCGCGTCTAGTCAAGTCTCTGCTACCTACAATTGATTGGCAGCAGAGATTGCTAATCAGACCTTGTTAAATGGCATAAGTCATATCTGCTAAAATCCCTCCGTTTGTTTTAAAGCAATAACAGATTGATTGCACTAAGCAGTGCTTGCCTATTAGCAGAACGACGTCCTTCTTGAATTTGTTAAGTCGTGAAACAGCCACGAGCACCATCACGTTGGCCGCAGTGCCGAAGGCTCCAAACGCGAAGTACAGGACTTCGCCGGCAAGACGATGCGCGAACAGTGGGTCAGTGCTCGAACCGAACGACCAGTTCGTCAAATTGAACGGTCTGTTGCTGAACAAGCCGGTCACGTTCCACGTCATTTGTACCGAAGCCTAAAATCTATGATACTCATTAATGAAAAATATCATAATATTAAACGTATGCAGATTTGATAAGAAAATGCCTGCAGATGTAGGACAGGTGACCGATTAGATGGATCGGATGATTAGACGCCACCAATTGATCACCAAAAGACTGCAGTCTGACCCCAGAGGTTCAAACAGTGCCACATTGCGAAACGGCTTTAACAGTTGACGACCAACACCAGCAACAAATGATTTCGAAAGTTCATTTTCATTCTCCGTCGCCAACTCCTGAATGCTGTAAGTTTTCGATTCACTGACTTTCAATGCAAAGGCTGATGCTATGAATCCCTTATTACAGGGTTATCGACGTTTCAGCTCTACGGAGGCAAGGCTGTTGCTTCACAGCATGAGGTCAGACCTGGTGCTGTGTTAAAAACCATTGAATCGAAAAACTTCGAACTTTTGCCATCAACGATTTTCATGTGATGACACACGGTTATTAAATTTTGTATTTGTAGTGAAACTTTGTCGCGCGAAGTTTTCAACATCGGTTATGTTTGTAAAATAAAGTAGATTCGAAAGGGGTGAAGAGCGAAAACCTTTAGTAGGCGGTCACTTCAACGGCTATGTGCGCAAAGGAACATGCAGACGACTGTCTTTATCGTAACTGCCGACGTTTCTGCCCAAACTCATTGCCCATCCTAAAGGAAAAACCTTTTTAACAGTTTAACTTCAGATAATAATTTAGTTAACTAAGCCATGTTGCTCAGCTGGCTTGTGTTCCAGGCTCAGAAACAAATAATTCACCCATTCGGCAATAATTTTCTAACGGTACGCTTTAAAATCTTCAATGAATCGCCAAGGCTTCGTTCGTTCTATTCTTTGAGGTGATCAGAACTCAAAAGCTGAGGGAGCTTCAGTTAGAGAGATTCACTAGTACCAGATGATGTTGCTGGTAGTGAGCTGAACTTTGAAGCTTGGTCTGAAACGTCAAACGGTTTTGTTAATAAAAGAGTATTTCATTTGTTGTGCTCGGTGGCATATCAAAGCATCATATTCAGTTATACGTTTATTTAACCTGCTGAGGAGGAAACGAATGAGAGTAATAGTAAAAATGGGAGGGAGTAGATGATGATTTACGCAAAAACATTAATACTAGTGATGCACCGAATTTTTCATATAAACAGCATTCAACAATCGAAGTAAAGAACAGAACATCACAGACAGACTTGCCGCAGTTGAAACGTGAAATTGCTCCTGGAAGACCATTGATTTTCGTCTCCTAAAACAAGCTGCTAATCTTAGTATTTGTTTGTCTTATTGAGTGAATTCAACCAATCGATGCATGCTTACTCCAATGTCAATCGCATATAACACTGATAAATTGCAAAAGTGTTTAATTAGTCACTTAACGTCCAACTTGCATATGATAACAGTCAGAAGAAACGAGGTAATAGTAGTGTCATTGAAGATTCACGTAAAATGGTGGCTTAGAAATTGACGAATTATTCCGTTGAGAATGTTTAAATGTAATTCTTATTTCAAGTGCATGAGAGACATCGAACTCTGCGCCAAACGAGCCATAATGATTGCAGAAAGCCACCGAGCAGATCTGCCACGTTGAGGGTCGTTAACTTTAGTCGATCGAAGATAATAATTACCATATTTGGTCGACAGTGCGTCACAGTTCCTTAAGCAACTTCTTAAATGCACACAACCCACATAACGCAACCTCACTGTTTCACTCATTATGTCGTACCAGAGTTGAGATACTACTTCTCGATTGCTAGAGTCAATCCGCGCCCACCCAACAGAGAGTATTCCACATTTGTCCCTGTCACGGCTAGTGAGTGCTACCCATCAATTAGCAGTTAGGCACCGACACCCGTCATAGCGGAACGACGGTAGCCATTCATCGTCAAGAGATGAAACACCAGGACTTACTGTGGTCAACCCATGCCATTCCTCTAGCAGTGATAAACAATATCCGATCATAATTGGTCCATGCATTCCATCAACCGACGACGCTCTAGAAACCGTAAAGGCTGAACCTTGCCATTCATCATCGGAAGGTCCTTCGGAGTAACTTACCATTACCAAATTGACCAGTTCATCAACTTCGGGCCATGCGCCAGCACTTAGCGCCGAATGACCAAATTTGAAAACGAAATGGATTCGACTGGACCCTTCCGATGCCCCTGTCGATGAGTCTCCAAAAGATCTACAGAACCATGGTGCTAAAGCGCATTAATTAGCATTTTCTTTCCACACCTCCGATGCCTTCTGTACTTGAGCATTTTGGCAGAATCGAACAGCGGCGAGAAGCGGCTGTTACATTCCATTAAATTTTCAAAAATTAATTTCCCAACAATACGGTTTCAAAGTCATTTTTAACTTTTTAATTGAAATTTCTGTCAGTCGACATGAAATGAATCGTTTGGTATGATATCAACTATAACTTTTCACGGATCGTCGCCGGAAAACGGCTGCTTTGTCGCAAAACGTGTTTGTGATTTCGAGAACTCATTTGGAATATTTAGTTTTCCTTTCTTCACTAAAAGTATTGATTCAACGATGCTGAATACACGCAAAAAATCATCAGAGGCGGGCACAAGGTAAGTGTGCCCTGATCCAAATAATCAACTTCCGGTAAGCCTTTCCACTGTATACCTTATAGTAGTCTCTGTGATGGGAGCCATCCAAGAAGAATCTCTGGTTATTCCAACTCATATTAAATAACCAGTTGGACGCTGTTGACGATATGCAAGATTAAGCAGTATAAATACTGAATATTGAAGTGATGTGCATATAACTATATGTATATGTTTCTATACATTATACATGTCAGAATATAACAAAAGCGGTTACAGAAATGGTAGAAAACATATTTGATACAATGCCGACCAAAAGTCACAAGGCATACCAAATAACTCGTCAAGAAACGAAAGCAGACAAAGACAGCAACAGACCAGAAATCAGAGATCCAATAAGTGTAACTTTGAAAAGCGGTAAAAAGACGGATAAAAGAACACATCCAGGCACTTAGCTGTAGATTGGTAAATGAAAGAATTGAAAACAATCGATGAAATTGAAGAAAAAAAATTAAATCGACGATTGTCCTCAGGGAACGTTTTCAAACCAGAAGACCGAACTGTCATCAGGGTCAGACCAGCTATTTTGAGGAGAGTGAGAGGTTGTTAGAAAAAGCTGTGCAAAGATGAAGGTAGCAATCTTTTGGTGGCTATGGGGAGCTTCAAAATGCAAATAAGGTTGACGAAATATCGAATATTCTGTCAGAGGACGTACGAGATTCATTAGAACAGTCAAAACAAGGCTCCTGGCAGAAAGGACATTGCGATGGCACTCGTGAAATCACGAGATGAGGCACTGACCAAGACGAGAGTGCGCTTTTTTCATTTTGTCTGAAGGAACTGAAAATGCCAAACGGTTGGGGTTGTCGCATCGATGATTCAACCGCACATCAACGGAATGAGGGAGGATTTGAAAAACTATGAGAAAATCACGTTGTTGCCAATCATCAAAATGATCTTCACGAAGGTACTGTAAAATAAACTTCATGAAAAACTGACATTGTAAAGCAGCAGGATTCAGAAGTGATTTTAGTGCGATAGACCAACGACATGTGGAGAGCAAATAATTCAGAAAATCAATAAGTATTAGCTGCCTTTCTGTGTGAGGTTCGTTGATTTTGAGAAGGCCATGGATTCAATCCGCATGGTTTTCGCATACGATTTCCTTTAGGAGCCAGAAAATTAAGAAAAGGTACAAAGATTTGTACCTTAATGAATTACATGAATGCAACTACTAGTTTGAAGCTTCACGAAATTACAAGCAAGTTCAAAATCGAACAGGGCGTTTCTCAGCGATGCTATTCACAGCAGCCTTAGAAGAGGTTTTCATGACTCCCTGTTGGAAAAATGAGGGACTGATGATAAATGAGCACTGCTTAAGCCTTCCCTGTTTGAGGCTGATATTTGGATCCCCCAGAGGTCGCCAAAAGAACTCAGCAAAATAATCCAAGAGCAAACGTGCGCTATCATCAAAGTAGAAATGCAAATGAACCGGAAGTAGGCTAAGTTCATATCCAACAAAAACACGTCAACGCGATATGCTGAAGTCGTTTTGATTTGATATGGCACAAAACCATGTCTCTCTGGAACAGCTCGACTATGGAACGGAAATCTGACTGTGTGCAATTACAAGAACGAACTTGGCGTGGACTACTACTGCAAGACTA